CCCCATTAATGACATGGATGAATCCTATACAGATATACACTGACATATATCTGGGTGATACCACTACACAGATGGGGATGATGTGGAAGATTCAAGACTTTTGTGTCTTCAGAGGAGTAATACATTTTATGTTTCGAGGTCCCCTACTAATGAAATGGACAAGCCCTACGCCACACCAAACTGACAGAAATCTGGGTGGTACCACTACACAGATGGGGGTGCTGAGGGAGGTTTATTCGTCTTCGGAGGACTCAACAGGTTCGGAGTCGGAGTCGATGCTGTCAATGTCGTCATCTTCCGACTCCTCACTTGTTTCCTCGGCGACCGTCTCCCCCGTTAGAGCGATGCGTGCGTAGTCGTCTGTGTCGATGGACTTACAGAAGTGTATGGCATATCTGTGGAGAAAAAAACACAAGGATTAAGTAAATGCTAGTGCTTATTGTAGCCTACTTTAACATGATCTACATGTACATTGTGTATCTATGATTATAACACAAGGGATGAGTGTAAAGTGTTAACATACGTACATGTATGTTTGCGTGTTTGCGTGTGCGTATGTGTGTGTGTGTGTGTGTGTGTGTGTGTGTTTGTGTGTGTTTGTGTGTGTGTGCGTAAATCATACATACTTGAGTTTCTCCCTGAGCACAGGCTTGCAGGAGTATCTATCTTTATGTGTGTGTGTGTGTACATGTGTGTGTGTGTGTGTGTGTGTGTGTGTTTGTGTGTTTGTGTGTGTGTGCGTATGTGTGTGTGTGTATGTGTGTGTGTGTGTTATGTGTGTGTGTGCGTAAATCATACATACTTGAGTTTCTCCCTGAGCACAGGCTTGCAGGAGTATCTATCTTTATGTGTGTGTGTGTGTACATGTGTGTGTGTGTGTGTGCGTATGTGTGTGTGTGTATGTGTGTGTGCGTGTGTATGTGTGTGTATGTGTGTGTGTGCGTAAATCATACATACTTGAGTTTCTCCCTGAGCACAGGCTTGCAGGAGTATCTGGGCATCTTCAGTAGGAAGAAGCAGGTGTAGGACTCCGGCAGGAAGTGGTCAGGTGGGTTGTACTTATCTAGAACCTGGGGAAACATGGGGACAACTGCAGGTTAGCAAGGACCAGACCGCATGTAACTGTAACTAACAACAGCCAGGATTTGAACTCCTAACCTCTTAGTCCAGAAACACAGTCACTAACCCTGGACTATGCATGCTGCCTTTAAATATATCAATGCACGTTGATTTTGTAAACTGCAACAGAAACTAGTTCTGTACCTGAAGCACAAAGTCTCGGCCCCTGAAGTCGGCGATCGTTCTGGGCAGCCGTGTCCGTCCCCAGACGAAGCGTAGGAAGAGCGATCTCTCCTGGTTGGAGAACTCCTCCATGACCTCCCAGAACCACCTGACCAGCGGGGCGTTGGCGTCGATCCCCTTGTACGTCGCCACTGACTTCAGGTTGTACAGTGGAATGTCGGGGCTGCCACAAACCTACGCGTGCAACGAAACAAAACACTATCATAGCCTGAACTGTTTGTTGATCATATCTTAGCTTTAACTGTATTACAGGTAGCATTTTGATTACTTGTACATGTAGTTCCAAAGTACAGTAAAAAAGTTAGAACATAGCGTAGCAACTAGTACTTGTCCCAGTGACAGGTGTCTACCATGGTAACAGGTTGTCATGGTAACAGGTACTTACCATGGTCTCCAGCTCATAGCCTGTGAAGAGTGAGAGGAGGGGGACAGGGATGACTCTGGCCATGCCCTCCCTCACAGCCGCTACCTGCTGCTCAAACTCATGCAGTCTGAAAAAAAAAAGCCACATCTTCATCTAGTTTATCCTGCTAATGCTTGCAATAATTTGGATGGATGCTTACAGTATATACAAGTACAATGTACTGGGAAATTGTTCTTAACTTACATGTACCAGAAACTTCTGTTCTTACAACAAATACTATGAACTGTGGACCATAGCACATTCACATACATTGCATAAGGTGACCAGCGCCTCCAACTCAGTCCTGCCACTTGCTACATATTGTAACCCAACACCATAGGGTGTCTGCTACAGCACCAGTTACCATGGTGACAGCCGTTTAGTCCAAGTCATTGACCAGGTCCTTATTTGTTTGAAACAGAAGAAGAAGACAAAGAAACAAAGCCAAAACAATACGTTTACCTTCAAACATAGCTACCGGTACAGACAAGACAGACTGACCTGTAGTTGAGTGCCAGCCTGACGTACTCCTGCCTGTTCTCCGGCGTGATTTTGGAGTACTTTGGGCTCAGCTTCACCTCGTCTCCCGATGCGCTGGAGGTGCTGAAGGGCATGGGGGGGTTCTCAAACGCCTCGCTGTCCTTGTCCATGTCACGGATGTACATCAGACCTGGCGGGAAGGAAACAACATCTTTGTCTTTGTCTTCTGTACCCACTACAGATTCTTCTCAACTGTCCCATGGAGGTGCAAACAACAGATGACCAACTGTAGTGAGATGTAAGCTGTGATGCAGTTCGGTCAAAAACTATACTAAGTATTACAAGGGACAGTGCCAGGCAGCCAAAAGAGTGGAAGGCAGATGAAAAGGTGGGAGGACAACATGAAAGAATGGACAGGATTGAGCCTAACTGAAGCCATGCCAGCATCAGAAGACAAAGAGTTAGGTGGAGGAGAATGGTGGATTGACTTTCCACGGTGACACAAATTTAAAACGAATACTAGTAGGTCTTTTGAGGCAAAGAGCTACAAAACCCTTTTTCCATATTTGTCCTTACCTGGTACGTAGTCCTTATCTATCTCGGTCAGGTCTGTGACAGTGAGCGGCATCCCTGCCAGCTGTTTCCACACCGGCTCAGCCAGGTTCAGACTGAGAGGGCTGCCCGTACGGATGGCTATCCCCATCAGGATACCTGTATCATATACACATCTAATCAGGGCCAGTAACTTTCTCTTTAGTACCTAAACAATGTATTAAGGGGGTGTAAACAGTACTGTAACAGACTTTCAGACACATTTCATTCATTATTGAAGTCACATGACATCAGACTGTTATACAACTGCAGTAATTGGTCATTCTTCCTGAAGGCCATAGACAGACTAAATAAAATATGCAACTGAAAATTCAGACAAAAGCAGACTCTTACCCAGGAACCTGAACATGTTCATGTGTGTGGGTCCCTTGGCGTGCGGGTTGAGGATGAAGCAGTCTCGGTTGGCGCCGGACTCCTCGCGACCGTTGGGCGTGAGGCACATGAGGGGGGTGGAGCCGTTCTGCAGCTCATCACACATCTCTGCGATGGACTCGCTGTACCCGCCTCCGCAGTCATCCACACTCTCTCCTGGGGGAAGGAACATGGGAAAGAAGGATGATGGAACAGTCTAAACTGCCAAGAAGACCACTCAGGGGACAAAGAAATTAGCCCAGTTACTCATCTACACACAAATGTAGTGTGTGTAGATGTAGTGTGTTTGATCTACACATTACATCAAATGAGTTTAGACAGTAGGCAGAATGTAGGCAGGCACACAGAATATATAATTTCCAATCTTTCTGTCTCCCAATCTCTCTCCCTCAATACATGTATGTGGCCACAAGCACTTGGGGAGGAGGCCCAATCAGCCCCTGACAGTAAAAGATTGTGTAATACAAGCTATCAAACATGAACCAGATCACAAAAGACTCTACCTACCTATGAACTTGACCTTCCAGACCCTGTGGGGCAGCAGCAGACTGTCGGGCGTGAAGGACGCCATCTTGGAGCACATCTGTCCGAACACTGACTTGATCCCGTCTGGTCCTGCCAGCCCGCCTTTACTCCTCGAACGCTTCACCTGAAAACAACCACCACGTTATATTTTGTTTGACCCTGACCTCTTCTACCTCACCTCAATGAAAAGTGGCCAGCAGACTGATTTGAATCAATAAACAAAGGCTCAATTAAACTAGAAAGGTACATTTGCACAGCAGATAGATACCAGTTTCTTCACATGGTCCTGCCATGGTTTATTTTTACTTTAACACATTCATAAACATGGTGACCAGCCCCTCTAAATCTGTCCTGAAACTTGCTACATAATGTCACCCAACACCGAGGGTGTCTGTTACAGCACCAGTTACTATGGTGGCAGCAATCTGGTCCAGGTCATTGACCTTACTTGTTTGGAGAAAACGAAAAAACAAATAAAAAACAACATGTACAAACAGGGCTCCAAATTAAATTTTTGACCTAGGAGCACTGTGCTCCTAACCATAAAAAGTTAGGAGCACAGGCTAAAATCTAGGCGCACCAACAAAAAATATTGTATTGCAAAGGTGTTAATATATTAAAAACTAAGCTTACTAAGATCATATTTCCTTTAAAAAAAATTCTATCAGCATCCTTAATTTTGAAAAAATTGGGCATAGGTTCCCCGGATGACCCCTAACCGGGGGCCAACGGTGCTTCCACAAGTTCAACAAGTGAAAAATACATGATACAAAATGTACATGTATTTACTACCTGGAACTTGGAGCAATTATTCCCAAAGGTGTACCTGACATTGATATATTAAAAACTAAACCAAATCCTATTTCCCAAACAAATCACATATTGACACAGCTGAACAAATAAAAATGTGATCATGTCTATAAACTCCACTCAAAAACAATTTTTGAGAGACACTCGGGTCGCGATACTAAGCATGATAATCTTTAATATCTCATCTGATTCTCCCAATGTATAACTATTAGGGACTTCACAATCACAGCATCCAACCGCACTAACACAAGTAACCAATAAATTCGGAAAATTTCTCAATAATGTTTGGAAATTAACCTTATAAAAATATAAGTGAATTTTTATTTCAGTTGTAGCCGAAAAAAATGTTTTCATGCGTTTAAAGTTTCGTTTTAGCACCTTGTAATATGTACTTAGTACATGTATCTTGTACATTTGGATGCTATCTTGACCTTTGACCACTGTTGTTGTGAAACACCGTCGGCCATTTTGTCAGTCTCGCCGTAGATTTTCGAGCCGTTTTTTCGAGCAAATTTCAACGGTTTTAAACATTTTACGGCCTCAAAAACTCATATAACGAGGAAAGCAAGTTGTAATTGTTATTTTCATGCGTAACATTTCTTCTGGGGATGGATTATTTTTCCGCCGAGCTGCCGAAAACTAGCGTCATGCCGCGACCATGTGGTCGGGCGCGGCCGGCCGGCGGGAGTATCGGTGAGCTTTCACGATGTAAACAAAGACATTCGGAGTTGTTCACATGAAAATTTTGCTGTGAAACGCCAGTGGGGTGTCAGATTTTCTACCAATGACAGCGTTTTCTTTGCGGCGTCATGGCGAGATCGACAATTCATCGTCAATTCACAAGATTGTGCCGACAATGGAATGAATAGGATAAAATTTTTATTGGCGCACCGTGCGACCGTGATTTCAAATGTAGTCGCACCGTCAAAATTTTGGGCGCATATGCGACCAAATCAGTCGCAGTCACGAGCCCTGACAAAACAAACAAACAACCATACCTGTATTCTGTTTAGTTCTATGACGGGTCCGTGCTGCCGGTCCCTCACCATGGTGGCCTGTACCACCTTCCTGAAGGCCGCCTCCTTCCCGGACGACACCAGGACCCCCCGCAGGGTGTCCAGCCCCACCAGCGGCTTGCTGCCGTTCTCATCCGCCAGCCGCCCCCTCAGGAGGTCAAACATGGGGATGGAGGGGCAGAACAGGTCCGAGAAGTGGTGCAGGAGAACCAGGCGGTTGCGTAGGACAGGCATGGTGATGTTCTGCAGGTGGTTGTACTCCATAGGGACCTGGACCGGTAGTTTACCGGCGTTCACCGGCTTGGACGTGGACCAGGCAAGGCTGTGGGCAGAGCCACAGGCCACTCTGTTGATCTTTTTCCCTGAATGAAAAATGAAAAATTTTGCAATCACAGTCGTCTTCTTTAAAACGTTAGAAAAATCCAGGAAAAATCCAAGAGATTTGTGGATGAAGTTTGAAAAGTTAGAAGAATGCTGCAACTTAGATTACTTGCAGGTACACATGTGTACATTGTACATGTATGATGACCAGCCCCTTCAACACTTGTTACATAATGTAATCCAGCACCACTTGCCATTGTGACGTACGTCTGGTCCAGGTCATTGAGCTCAAGTGTTTGGAGAAGAAGAAACAGAGCAAAAGTAATGTATGTTTTTCTGTTGCAAAGCATACCAGGTAATGAATTTACAGTACACGTACCTTGGAGTGCAGCCACTAGCCTGGGTCGGGGGATGGCGTTTGTGGTCCCGTCTCCCAGCTGTCCTTCATCATTGTCTCCCCAGGTGAACACCTCACCTGTGGATAATACAGGTAAAACACCTGGTCAGAACACATGTACAGGTAGGTCTACTACGTACTGTACGGTCTTCTAAATCTTTGTGGGTTATCTTTGAAGATTGTAATACTGTCATGACTTAATACTGCTTCTCTTCCAATTCATATCATCATACTTTTGAAATACCAGTCTCTCTACAGCAATAGCTTGTGTTTCCCTTGTACTTTCCACCAACTTACAGGTAGTTCAGTGCCCTGAAGTGGACTTTTGGCCTTGCATGGAGCAAACGTGTTAGAAAATATACCCTAATATGATAAATATAAGAGTGTATATAGAGAAGGAAAATGTAATAATTGAAAATAAATGCCATTCCCTACCTTGGTCTTCTTGAAATAAATGTCAGACATAATTTGAGAAAAAGAGAAACAAATAAAATTGCAAAGGCTCCCAGCCAGACACAACATAATATAGATTATGATATTGATAGATATAGATTGCATGTGTGTGCACAGTGCATGTATTGTGATATAGGTAATATTACTATTTAGAAGAACATGTGAATCAAAATACAACTGCACAGGAAGAGTCAGACACGTGTATGGCCCCAACTTTGTCCTCTTTTTACCTCAGCAATAACTGAAATGACTTAAAATGAATGGACATGGACCATATGCCCTGTGGCAATAGTCTCCACCAGACTTCTTTGCGGGGTGAATAAATCGTAGAAATCGGCCTAAAAAGAGTATTAATTGGCCAGAGAAGGAAGCCGGCCAGAGAAGCTCCATTCGGCGGGACTGGCTTTAGAAATAGGTTGCACCAAACAAAATGTGGTTGTGCAGCACCACTAGGTAACCTTCATTTTTTAGTGTTTGTTCCTCCTTCTCCTGTCATTCTCCCTACCTTGGTCTGTGCAGGCCACACAGTGCAGTGAGCCTGTAGCGATGCTGATGACATTTTTCCCCTGTAGTGCCGCTACCTTACGTGGTCTCCTCACATGGTCATCTGAACCGTGACCCAGGCGATGGTAGTCTCCCTTACCCCTGAAGTCAAACAGAATTGCCAACAATGTTTTAAAAATTTTACCTCATATATGATTTGTTTATCATGTTTCCTAGGCCATAATATACATAGGGAAAAAGGAATAAGTTTCACAAAGTTTCTTACAGTTCAAAAGTTGATTTCTAAAGGAAGGTCCAATCTAGCACGTCAGCAGGGCTATTGCGCCTGAGCAAAACCGTTATGTATTGTGCATAGCAGAATTTCTGTATTCATGTATTTGAGAATGACATCCTGTCTACAGTTTTCAAATGTTGTGTCCGAAAAGATACATCTGCAACAGGCAAAATTCTAATGCAATGTTGACCAAACATCCAAAGAAAACCACAAAAAATCCAGGATTCACGCAGGTGCAGTACATTCTGCCGACATGCAGTCCAAACTTAAGTTTCAAAGGAAGCACAACCGGCTCTTCCTGCCCTCACCATGTGTAGACACATCCAGACTTGGTGAGCGCCACAGAGAACTGCGACCCACACTCCACCTTGACCACGCCTTGACCAATCAGAGCCTCCACCTTCTGCGGAATCTTGCACCCGTCGCTGCCGCCCCTTCCCAGCTTGCCGTAGTCCCCGTCCCCCCACGACCAGACACAGTCGTCGTCCGTGATGCACAGCGTCTGGGCGTCCCCGCTGCCACACGCCACGTCAACAACTCGAACACCTTTCAGTGCTTCAACCTGGGACACGCAACAAATCATCATGAGAATGGCTTGAGTTATTGCCATGGTATTTGAAACAGAATGATGTCTCTCCTTGGTGCTGAAAACATTTCTGTTTGTCCTGACAATAGTACTAGTATTTGTATTAGTCCTTACCAGTTTTGGTTTCATCTGGTCCTCACTGTCTCCATGGCCCAGCCTGCCGTACCGGCCCTTCCCCCAGGTGAACAGCTCCCCTGTGGAGGTGATACAGGCACTGTGCGCACCCCCCGCGGCGATGTCCACCACTTCCTTCCCACGCAGCGACTCAATGACACGAGGACGGTCACAGGAGCTGGGGATGGAATAGTGGTATAGTCAAAATGGGGATTTTATGGTGCTGCATGTATGTAGAAAACAATGATGCCTGTCCTTGGTGCTGAAAACATTATCATTGTCCTCACACCGCATCTTATTCACTGCCACCCATTTCTAGCCTTGAAAGGTACAAGTTATGGATGAACACATGGATCAAAGAAACAAAAGTTTTTGCCCACGTGTGTAAATGGTATCTTACTTCCTGTTGCCATGGCCCAGCTTGCCATCCTCAGCCTCCCCCCAGGAGAAGACCTCTCCCTCGGAGGACAGGGCCAGGCAGTGCTTCCCTCCTGAGTTTACGGCCACCTTCTTGATGTGGACGTGTTGTATGGACTCCAGCAGTGTAGGGCTGGATACAGACTCTGTCCCACCGATTCCCAGTCTCCCTCCTGCTCCATACCCGGTGGCATACACCTGTGGGGAAAATGGAAGTGTTTTTTGATCCTCTGCAAACTGCTATACCATCTTACAACTGTACTATAATAAATTTGTGCAATTTATTCATTTGAGGCTGACTGAAAGAGAGAGAAACATCATACATCTATGAGTACAACAAACACACATTGTTTAATGAGTACAGTGGACAACATCTTGAGTGCACTGTTCAAAGAATGACCAGTGGATGTCCACACTTTCCAGTGATGTAGATGACTGACAACAGTTGGGATCGAAACTATGTTTATGATTTGTTTCATTTGTCTGTTTGTAGGTACATATACATTGCATATAGTTACTGTACTTCTGTTGTGTCAATGAAGGCTATGTTCAAGACCAAAGTCCTGTCGTTATGACCACTTGCCTTTCCATCAGCAGTTACAGCAAACAGTGTCTGCTCTCCACCAATCAGCTGTACCGGTCTCAGGGCCGCCAGGGCGTCGCAGGGGGTGGGCAGCTTGACCTTCGCCCCCTCGACCCCTCCCAGCTGCCCCCTGTGGTTGTGACCCCAGCCCCAGATCTGACCACTGCCGCCCCAGGACAGCGTCCAGTCGTCCGGACGGCGGCTCAGCCATTGGAGCAGCTGCTCGTCATGCTCCTGGTGGAACACCTGGTCGGCATGGCAACAATACAGATGTTGGGATATTATGGAAACAGACTTTCTAACAAACTTTCAAGTACACCTGGTTAACAAGGTGATAACAATGATGTTAGAGTATTATGGAAACAGATGGAGAAGAGAAATTTTGTAGAGTGGGGTCCTTCCCGGTGTGAGTGGTTCAAACCTTCTAGTCTAACAGTCTGGTTCCAGGGTCGACATCTTGAAGAAGTGATAGTCATCCGTTATGCCAATCCTTCCACAAATGTGGTTAACAGGTGTAAGGGAATCTACATATAGAACTGACCTGATTGTCCTCGTGCTCTCTGGACAGGTCGTTGACCTCCCCATCCCCACTGATTTCTTTGACTTTCTTCATCACCTCATCAAGGAATGGCTGAAGGAGAAAAAGATGATCAGCAAGATCAAGGCATCCAATTAAAATTTCAGATTGGCAAAACAAAAATATTCTGGACGTGTAAAAACTGTCTGATATTGACATTCACTACCATTTCTTGGCACATTTTTGTCATTATTCCATACTCAAAGCATTTGAAATAGCAAATTTACAAGAAGTCCCTTTTGTGATACATAATCCACCAATAAATACAAAATGTAGCTAGAACCAGCCTATGATATGAAACAAGCAACCATTTTTCATCAGCGATATCACATTTCTTCCTCACAGACATCAGTATGCTATGGGATAGGGTCCATAGTCTGGTTTCACACAGCCTGTACTTACTGTGCAAAACTGGTGTGATAAGCCTAAAGGCTGTTTACGTGAAACAAACAATCAAAAACAATAAAACAACATTGAAAAATATCGGTAATAAATTGTCCGCCAGACCTGTGGGAAGGTGTCCCTTCTCTCCAAGGCTTGAGCGACCCTTGAGGCGATACAGTACCGCCTGAACCACGCCCACTTGTGTGTCTCTGAGCAGCACGGCAGGGAGTCCAGCCCCAGCTCACAGGCAAGCGCTACCAGCTCCTGGGGTGGAAACATTTCTCATCAGTTTTTCAGTTAAAGACTAAAAAACGTGGTTAAGCCTTTCATTTACTCGACTTGTACTACTTTATACTTGTATTGTAGAGACGCATCCTGTCAATTTATATTTCTGCAAGGTTTAATAATGATTTTTTACCTCCAGGGAAGGAGATACCCAATTGTGGTGAGAGGAGGAACTCCAGTAAGGAGCTCTGAGGAAGGTGTCTGATAGACACCGAAAAATAAACGAGGTAAGAGGTCAAAAGAAAATCTAAATATCCAAGATACCTTTCTGCAGGAAGGTATTGTTTGGATTTGCATTTGTGTGTTTGCACCTGTAATTCACTGAGGGTTTGACAGATTTGTTTGATCAATTAGATTCAGATTCTTCACATTTTCATTGTATATTGTGGTTACTTTAATTTTGTCCGCAGACAAGACATTAGAACATACAAAGCAGAACATGTCACTGAAAACATTCGACTGAAAGGATCCAAAGTGTCTCTTATAGGCAAAGAAAGTTGAAACAAAGCCCTGACCATGAAGAAGGAGCTGTGCAGAAGGTGTTTTCCTCCTCTGACGATGGGATCTTCATACTCATACTGTCTCAACAGCATCTCAGGCAGGCCCTTCACTAGGCTGGCCAGGGTCCCTGTGTTCGACTGCAAAAAATAATCAAGGAATTACAAATGTAGGTCAACAAAATGTACAGCTTTCAAAAGTAGTTTGTTATGCTAGACCATGTGAAGGTAAACATTATGCATATGCTAAATGTTACCTTAAGTTTCTAGTTCTTACCCAAAGACATATGGTGACCAGCCCTCCAACTCTGTCCTGCCACTTGCTACATAATATAATCCAACACCAGAGCATCTGCTACAGCATCAGTTACCATAATATGGTGACGGCCGTCTGGTTCAGGTCAATGACCTTATTTGTTTGGACTGGAAAAGAGGAAAATCTAGAGGAAAAAGAAGAAACAGAACAAAAACATGAATACTGACCCTGGATTGTTCCTCATCCCCATCTCCTAACAAGGCATCCACGTTCAGTACCGGACCCATCCCTGACCGCAGGAGTTTTCTCAGCCGCTGCAGTGCCCACATTCTCTGGCTGGCCACTGGAAAAGATCAGAACAAAAAGTGGTGAATTTCCAATTATAGATTAAACATTCTCTGCACGTTTTGACTGACAATCATTCAGCCATGTCTGACAGTGACATCTAGAGCTCTATAATGCCATACAGCATCCTTGAAGTGCAGATGATTAAAGGACAAAATTATTTGTAGCCGTGCATAAGAGAAACATAAAGGTTTCATCATATAATCATGCATTTGAGCATTTAGGGCATAGTCTGTGAAGTTTTGTGTATGTTCCTGTACTTGTATAATGATAGTTATATGTAATACACTGTATGTATGAACATACTTAATTGTAATGGAATATTTTCCAGGGCCTTACTATAAAGCAGTGCTATGACTCTGAGATGGGCCGCCCTGGGTTAATAAAACAGAAACAAACAAACAAATTTGTGAGCAGTACCTAGACAGCTGAGCTGTGCGCAGGCAGCGAGTGCCGCGGCCAGCCGAGGCACGATACTGCGGACACAGTTGGCGTCCAGCCGGAAGTCCAGCAGGCAGGTGACCAGGTCGATGGACGGTCGGGACAGGACTGACCTGTCTGATAGTAGGTCCTGTGGGGGTGAGAAATTATTAGCTTGGCTATTATAGCTACCAAGCCTAATTTAGCTGACAGTTTTTTGTCCTCTCTGCAATTAATTGGGAATTCACGACACTGCAAATATGGGTTTCTAATGTATTCCTACTGTATTGCAAATTTGTCTCAACTAACAATGTAAAACACTGAAAAACTTTCCCCTTCTACCATGCAATTAACTCCCTGCAAAAGTACATGAATTTACAGTACTCTACGAGCACACTTCTGTCAAACATTCTTTTTGGAAGTAACATGTTCACAGTTTATCATACCTTAGGTGCAGCAGCTGGCATGATGGGGAAGACAGTGAACCTCCAGCCCCAGCCGTTCACAGAACCATCGCTGGTGAACTTCCACTTCAGCTCATCTCCCGCGATTCTCAGCTCAGACGACCAGTCACTCCACTCTCGACCTGGGCAACGAATCAAGGATTGAAAATTAGCTGCAAATTTAAAGCATATCTAAAGGTATCCCTGATCCATACTATTGATCCATCTGCTACTCTAAAAAAGACTGTTGTTAAACCTTCATTCAAAAATCACTGAGACTTTCATTTTTATCTGTGCCTACCCAAGTTATTTTGTTATATAAGTGACCGTATGGAGTTCTGAAGCATAGGGGTACACATGCACGGATAGATTAAGATCTTTCTGTTCTTGAAACCTACCTGATCTAACAGACACCACCCTGTTGGCTCCATCCATGATGGTGAGTGGGTCATGTCTTCTCTCTGTGGAGCACTGACGGTCAAACTCTACACGCAAGGCCTCCGCACCTAGATACAAACCACATAACATTTTAAAAAAATAGTTTTTCACACCCTAGGCCTATCACTTCAATACTGTAAATGTAACCAATCCAAGAAGCAAGAAATAAAATTGGTGTGGCCTAAAGGACAACAGCATACCTTTTCCCCGAACAAATTTCGAGCTCTGGACTGTAAGAGCTCCAGCTATTAAACCTGTACCCACCTGCAATCCTGACGTGCCCACTGATAGAAGTATCGTCTCCGTACGGATGTGGACTCTCCTGCACCACAGGCTGCATGGCATTACGGTTAGCCTCCGTGTCGGACGCAACATCCTCCAGCTCTGTCACACACAGCTCCAGCAACATCTCCGCAACCTAAGGTGACAAGGTAGTCTCGTGGTTAAAGTTGTTGACTCAGAATCTGAAGGTTCTGGGTTCGAATCCCTGACAGGCCCCAGGGTTGAGCCCCTGGGAAAGGCACTTAAGACTTACACTGTACATGTATTTCCTCATTTGACTCAGATGAAAATGACTAGTAGCTTCAGTTAGGGATGTTCTCTATGAATGTTAAAAAAAAACAGACCTTGAGCACATTCAAGATCCCACAACACTTATCCTTTCTTGTGTCACTGATTCAAACTTTGTAAGTGGTTCAAACATTACTACAGTCCAGTCTTAAGCAGCTTGTACAGTACTTACAGTACAAAACTGGTGTGTTACACCTGAAAGGTGGTTTCCCAGTTATATGAAACAAACAAACAAACCTGGAGAGTCACAAACACTTGGTACACATGTTGGAGTAAAAATCTAGCCTACCTGTGGGTTGAACTTGCCCATAGCTGTGAGCACAGCGGAGATGGCTTCCTTCCCAGACTCCCCTGCTCGCCCTGCCACCGCCAGCTTCAGCAGGTCCACCAGAACCCGGGCGTCGTCAGCGCTCAGCTTCCCCGTGAACTCATCCAGGTCTGCCACGGGAGGGGCCGGGTCCTGGTCTGAACCACTCGTCACCTAGGAAACAACCATCAACAATACAGGTTACAGTCAGAACTGCAGACAAGACCACTCAGAGGACTGATAAAGTCTGGTTCCCCAGCTAAAGATGTTCCCCCCTGATAAAAATCACACTCAGTATGTAAACCTTGCGTATTTTTTCCACATACATGTATGTTAAGACCAGTCATTGAACAGTTCAATTTCTACTGGGCTATTCAAAGAGATACTGGTACTTTTAAAGATCACTGCTCAAAATCCAAGACTGTTGGTTCTTTGTTACATAGACAGCATCTAATGAGAAACACAATAACAACAACATACATGTACATACATTGTAAAACACTAAGATTTATTAATAGAAATCAATGTTAACTCTTGTTTACCTCCTCTGTGGATGTAATGGCCTCTGCCACATATGCAGAAGCACTGAGAGCTGGGATGCTACCACTTCCAGACAGATGGGGGTGCCTGGGCTCCTCCTTGGATATGCTGATGTCAATGTCTTCCACAGACACTTCCTGGTCCTTCTCTGGCTTGGTTTCTTCCAGACTCTCGGGCTGTTCCTGGGAGTTGTCTTTAACTGCGTAAGACTCCGGTACGGCCAAGGCACTCACCTGGGCCTCCCTGTGGTTAAACGTATCCACGTGAAATTATGTGAGAAAGCGTAACAGCAAATTGAGATTCTATTGTGTATTCTATATATGCAACACTGTATGTATGCGTGCATTTGATAAAGAAATATTGGTGCAAATCTTTATCCTTCATTTTTTGTGTGTGTACATGTGCCTGTGTGTGAGTGCAATGAAAAAAACTGTGTTAACTGAATTTTCCTTTGCTTTTATCAAACTTTTTCAGAACATACATGTACTTGAATGTATTTATTAAATTTTCCATTTTGACAGTTGTACATTGTATATTCCGTCAATGTTGCATCAGAATTTTACCCGTTGCAGATGATAACGTTTCCGACACAACATTTGAAAGCTGTAGATGGGATGTCATCTTAAAACAGGCGAATATGACCTAAAACGACTGCCAAAGTGCAATGCATGATACATTATGGGTTTCAAGGAGGTGCAGTATGTTCTGCAGACGTGCTACCTTGCGTAGATGATCTGCAGGGCAGACAGGATGTGTCCCAGAGCCTGTTGTTTAGCCACGTTGGTGTCCAGGGAGAGGACAATCCTGGCAAGGGAGGGGCGGTGAGGTTTGGACGGCAGCTGGGTGGTGGAACTGGCTCCCATATTGTCTGTCTCAGGCTCCACACCTGCAGCAACAAAATTAATGTTCCATCAATAAAACTCCTAAAATTCTTAGTTTCAATTTTAGGTCAAGTTTGTCAGGTTTTCTCATGATACAGAAGAAAAGCGTGCATTCTGTCAGAACTGTGTTTCTTACTAAAATAGATCTGATGCCTGATGAAGAAGAAAAAGAGCAAGAAATCATGAAACAAGGCTAATGTTTCTGGATGAAAATAATCAGAATGCTGAACTGTCACAAATGCAAGGATCACTTATGGGTTACTTGTCCATATTAGTCAGCCTAGAAGAGAACAATGAGATCCACCCTGTCACACCCTGTTAACCCCAAATGTCATGATCTTAACCCCAAATGAAGTTGGTAGTGTGTCCATAGGGGCAATTGTTCTACAATACAGGGGATGCTGTAGAATATGCTTGACAGTTCTAAACCACAAGTTTCTGGGCAGAACTAACCGAGAGCCGATGCCCCCAGGGGGTCTCTGGACATGGTGAACAGCACGGGCTCGTGTCTGGACGGCACCGTGGAGTCCGTGGTCGTCCAGGCAACGCTGTGAGATGACCCGCAGGCCACCCGGGTGACCTTGACCCCCTCCAGCCCCTGCACCAGGGACGGGCGTCGGTTCACGGTGGTGGTGCCGTTACCCTGCTGGCCGTGGTCATTATCTCCCCACGCAAAAACCTGCAGCACAGATCAACATGTTAGCTGGAAGGGTTATGGAAGGAAAATTTACTCTACATCAATGAAGGTAATGAGATACACAGTCACTGATGAATAGTAGTGGATGCTACTAGAAACAGTTTTCAATATCTGTCCAGTTGCTTAGTAACTGTTTTTGAAAATTTCCTTTATCTTTCCTTTCAAAAGATGCTAGTATAAAATGTTGTATCAGACATTTTTAAGTTGCTTCCTTCAGTGTCAAGATCTTTGGTTGCATATCACATTTAGGGGCTGGCAAAAATTAGGCTAAAGCAGTGAAAAGTCTAGTCATATTAGAATACTACACCCTTAGCACAATGAAATAGACGTCTGGCTATTAATTCTCCATAGGTTACAGGAATAATCACTAGACAGATGGTTAATGGAATACCAAAACAACCACCTGGCCTTGGTTCAAAGCAATATTCTTGGGGGCAGTTTTGATGTTAGATTTACCTGTCCTGTGTCAGTGACAGCCAGACAGTGCAGAGCTCCCACTGCCACATGGATCACCTTCTTCCCTCTCAGCCCCTCCACAATCTGGGGTTTCCTCACATGGGCATCACTGCCATGGCCCAGCCTGAAGTAGTCTCCTTTTCCCCTGAACACAAACAAGAAATACTTTCAAAAAAGCTCTCCGTGGGTCAAGATAGAAATAGCTGGTTGCTACTCTTAGATACATCTATTGTACAGATCTTATGAGCATGTCGGCAGAACGTACTGTGCCTGGATGCGCACTTTCATACAACGTCTCGTGTAAAGTCATATTCAAGTATTCAAGGATGACATTTCGTCTTTAGATTTCGAATATTGCGTTGGAAAAGATATCCTCTGCAACAGGAAAAATTCAGATGCAACTTTGGAAAATAAACATCCCACTAAAATAGTGAAAAACCCAGGTTTCGTGCAGGTGTAGTATGCTCTACCGACATTCATTCCATCACCAATACCCAGCTCTGGTTAGCTTGTGTACCCACCATGTCCAGACCTGGCCAGCCTTGGTGAGGGCCAGTGAGAACTGTGCCCCACACTCGATCTGGATGACCCCCTGACCCCCCAGCCGCTCCACGGGGTGGGGCTGGTTGCAGCCCTCGCTGCCGCCGCGCCCCAGCTTCCCGAAGTCTCCGTCTCCCCAGGAGTACACGTTCCCCTCGTCCGTCAGGGCCAGGGTCTGGGCGTCACGACTGCCACACGCCACCTGGATAACTCTCTGGCCGGCTAATGATTTTACCTGCAGGGAAAAAGGACATTAGCTCAGCAAAACAACAAGTAAATCCCCAGTCATGTATATTGTATGATGCACCTATGATGAAAGGTTTTTCGCCACGATTGTGCCAGATATCGTAGGTTTGCAAATCAAAAAAGAAAGCTCCTACAGAACATGAAAGGAACCCATAATTGGTAACTTCTGTCCAGCCAATGTTTCTACATAAGAGTAGAAAGGGAGGTAGAAAGACTGAATGTTCTCCAAAGACATGAGAGATGACAACAATTCCTTTGAGACAGTCTTTCATGCTCATGTTTTCTTTCTTGTTTGTTACCTATTTAGGCCTGAGCTGTGTTGTGTTGTACTCCTCCAGCCCCCAGGTGTACAGCTCTCTGTTGTTTGTTTGTTTGTTTGTTTACCTGTTTAGGCCTGAGCTGTGTGGTGTTGTCCCCATGGCCCAGCCTCCCGTACTCCCCCAGCCCCCAGAGGTACAGCTCTCCATTGTTTGTTTGTTTGTTTGTTTGTTTACCTGTTTAGGTCTGAGCTGTGTGGTGTTGTCCCCATGGCCCAGCCTCCCGTACTCCCCCAGCCCCCAGGTGTACAGCTCTCCGTTGTTTGTTTGTTTGTTTGTTTACCTGTTTAGGCCTGAGCTGTGTGGTGTTGTCCCCATGGCCCAGCCTCCCGTACTCCCCCAGCCCCCAGGTGTACAGCTCTCCGTTGGAGGTTACTGCTGCGCTGTGAGAACTCCCGCAGGCGATGTCTCGCACACGCTTGGACTTCAGAGCCTCAATCAGTCTGGGCTTGTCACAGTTCCTGTCGGAGAAATAGCATTACATCCATCAGCTAATCAATCCATTGATCAATCAATATCTGATACATAGATATTATTCCTTCCTGTAACTGTAACACTCCTATATAATGTAAGTGATGTCAAGTCTTACTACTGCAAAGTTAAGTAGTATCCATTCAGCCTTTCAGCCACAAAATGGAATGTACTGCACAACCAATTATTACACTGAGCCTCATGGTACCAGTTGGAGAGATGATTGATAGATTGACAATCAATCAACACTTTTAAAATCTGACTAAGTTAGAAGCAAATTAGAAGCTTAATTATGCAAAAAAGAAAATATGTGACATTTGTGTACTCACATCCGGCTGAAGTGTCCCAGTTTGCCGTCGTCTCCTTCCCCCCAGGAGAAGACCTTCCCGTCCACGGTCAGAGCCATCGCATGTCGTCCACCTGGAACAGATTGAACATCATTCACAAACAGTCTTGTCCTTAGTGCTGAACACCTTCAACACTCAAGCAAACATGACTGTCCCTGGTGTTGAATACCTCCCACACACAGACAAACCAGTCCTTGGTGCTGAACACCATCCACACACAAGAAAACACACCTGTCCTTGGTGCTTAACACCATTTACGCACAAACATATACCTGTCCATGGTGCTGGACACCATCCACACATAAGAAAACACACCTGTCCTTGGTGCTGAATGCCATCAACACATAAGAAAACACACATGACCTTGGTGCTGAACACCATCCACACATAAGAAAACACACCTGTCCATGGTGCTGAACACCATCCACACATAAGAAAACACACCTGTCCTTGGTGCTGAATGCCATCAACACATAAGAAAACACACCTGACCTTGGTGCTGAACACCATCCACACACAGAAATATAGTCCTATCCTTGGTGCTGAATACTATCCACACACAGGCAAACAGTCCTGTCCTTGGTGCTGAACACCATCCATACACAAACATACCTGTCCTCGGTGCTGAACATCATCCAACCAAAAACAAACACATGTACACAAACGCCATCCATAGCTTCTTGATTTATGCTTGCAAAAACACAATCATTTTTATGCTAGTAATAACAACTAAATGTATGATCCAAATTTTTTATCTTCAGCTTCAAAATCATGGTTCTTTTCAGATACTATGAGTGTTTCTTAATTGAAAAACACAAAATAATACATTTCTGCATGTTTTATCATGACGGTTCATCTCCCTTACCTGAGTGGACGGACACCTTCCTGACGACATACTGACTGAGGGAGGACAGCTGTCTGGGGACGGAGACGGTTCCTGTGGAGATGCCCAGCCCCAGTCTCCCATTGGTCGCTTCTCCGCAGGCGTAAACCTTACCCTCCGCAGTTACTGGGAGGAAAGAACGGCAGTGTTGGTCAAGCAGAAGAATAACATCAAGGTGGCCAGTGTTGAAGATTTGTTAACAAAATTTTCACCAGACTCAAACTCACAAAGATAGTTTAAAAGGACTCAGGTATTGAAAAATACACTGCACAAGTATATATTCAATAAGTTCTATACAGTGACAATGAAGGTTAGGCATCCAGGTACAAATATAGAACTTTAAGTAAAACAAATTACAAGAAATCTAAGATTGCAAACCTCTTGGAAGTAAATAATCTACACTGTCCACAACTGATAATTTTGGACACAACGTTAACGGCAATGTTACCAGTAACCCTACAACATTATGTAAGCTACCACCAGTTACCATGGTGACAGACATCTGGTTCAGGTCATTGACCTTATTTGTTTGGAGAAGAAGAAGAAGAAGAAGAAGAAACAGTGTCGGTGGTGCAGTTACTTCCACATTCATTGCATTTCACTGCGGTGTGATGAGTTCCACTAGAAATACCCCTACATATAACATACATGTATACAGGATGTTATTAGATGGTTCTGTATACAGGACAAGGTTTTTCACTGTATGGTTTTCCCTTTTTGCACGGAAGTATGTAATCCTGTATTGACCTAGATAGATACAAACTATCTCTGAGAACCAGACAGAAATTTTCATGCATCTCAAATGAAGTGACGCACAAGGGACAAATTGACCAAAGCACATTTAGTGCTATCAAGATGGCACAAAGTGAGACACTGGTCCTGTCACTTCTGGTACTTTTTGTGTCAGTAGCAGCTCAGCTCTGTCCAAAGAGCTGTTTTTTCGATAAGAAGGAATCCTCTGAAGGACTCCCGGCTTGTCGCTGCCCCATTAAGCAAGGGATGGGGACTCCTTGCAGTTGGATGGGACATGGAGGGATGTACAGTTTCCCTTTATGCCTCGATTCAATACCAACTAACTTCAACAAACTAACCGTATCAATCCTCATCCAGCACCTCTGTTCTTCTACGCTCCGGGAAGAATCTTTCCCAAACGTTTCTAATCTTCACGTGCTTAAGATCCAGAAGTCTAACGTTTCTAGAATACAGAAAGGGGCTTTCCGAGGTCTGCCACTCGTAACACACCTCTACCTTGATGACAACCGCATCTCCTGCCTAGGTAAGTTTCATCACTAAAGTCTTCTTTCCCCAAATTTCCATCTACTGTTTTAGTGGCTATAGATTTTAAAACCCTTATATATATAATATGGGTTGCACATACAGTACCATCCATATAGTGACCTTTATATGTACAATTTGGAGGAATTTCTCATGCAACGCATCCCACTGCTATGACATGACATGCAACAAATACGGAAGTAAATACACCACCTAGGGGCAAAAAAAAAGTCAAGGGCCTGTGACCTGATTAAGACATCAATCATGGAATGTATTTTTTACCAGCTGATGACTGATACAGAATTTGCCTTTTTTCTCAGTTCATGTTGTTACATTGATAAAATAATCAATAATATTCTTTTTCCCCCAGAACCTGATGCGTTTCTTGGCCTTGAGAAACTAGGTTTCCTGTTCCTCCACAAGAACATGATTTCAGCCATATCCCAGCATGCCTTTCGCAGTCTGCCTCTCCTCCAAACACTGTCGCTGGAAAACAACCTCCTGACTTCTGTGCCCGTCAATGTTCTCCTGCAGCCCGAGGCATTGCGGAGCGTCGACCTACGAAATAATCGTATCACCGCTATCGACCGCGACATCATGAATCTGCATCCAGCAATGAACAAGCAGCGAAACCAGCGCCTACGTCTTCTGATAGGGAACATCAAAGTGCGATGCGACAGTTGGTTTATCTGCAACCTACAATACTTGTACTACTTTTCGTTCCCCCCATTTCTAAGGTGTGCATCACCTGCCGAGCTCAACGGGACTCTCGCCTTCAACGTAAGGAAGGATATTTGCCAGACCACCACTTATAGCCCGGAACAAAAGACCGCAGCCGGGTCCGCTCGATACAACGAAATCACGACATCAATGGCTGACATCGTTCCAACAGGTTTTCAAATTGACGACAGCAATCTGTACAACAAGACTATTGCCACCAAAGACTACACAGAGGCACCATGCAGCTACAACATGTCAGTCTCTGATGGTACGACACAGATGGACCATGTCATTCTTCTTGGGGGAAGCTCAGTGATCACCGAGAATGGTAACACTGTGATCTACGCTGTAGTTGTGCCCCTCCTGCTTGTGCTGACCATAATGGCTGTCCTCCTCATCTACAACTGTTGTTGTAGCACAGATCCTGCTCCACAAGACGTACCAATGGGAGCCCTTGAAGCTACAGCAGACCATAACATTGAGCCTTACGCAGTGGCTTTCGCTGACTCGAGTGAGCTGCAACAACCTGCTGGATGCCCCGCCCCTGTTCCTGACAAGACCCAAGAAGACAACTGCACTATTCAGCCATATGAAGTAGCCTATGCCGGAGACCCGGGGTCAGAGATTCAACCCTATGCGGTGGCTTACGATGAAGAGCCAGGAGCACAAATTCCGCGCCATGCAGAGACTGCCAATGATGACCGAGAGCAAGGTGACAACTTTATCCAACCTTATGCCATACGCTACCCGGGCCCTGACTCTCCACTAGCTGCAAGAAAATGCGCCGAGGCAGATTTCACGCCGCTTGATAATGGTACTTATGAACAGGCTGTAAATGTAAAACAACCACTCGCCCACACACAGGACCACTCGTTGTCAACTTCCGAAAGCGAACTTGAAAATGGTACTTATGAACAGGCTGTAAATGTAAAACAACCACTCGCCCACACACAGGACCATTCGTTGTCAACTGCTGAAAGCGTACAGTTCAAATACGAGAACTGTAAAGGGGGAAAAGACGTCAAATCATCAGCAAGTGACGGCCGGGGTCCTTATGGAATGGAGGAAGCGAAGGAGATTTCAGACCCAAGAGAAGTGTTGTATACAAGAGAAGCTCACAGCATGCTGGAGAAGAAATTTAAAAGCATATATCTCCTGACCTATACAACCGACTTGATGGACAATCCCAGTGTCACACAAACAGATGATAAGTGCTTAATAAGGAGCTGATTGACATCGGACCTCCTCAAAAGCAGACTGATACCAAGTTGGTCCCACAGCATCTCAGTCTATTTTCAGCTTTTTGTCGATATATTAAGAATCTCGTATTTGAGAAAGGTATAGAGCTACATGTAGATGCACTTGTGTGAACTGATCTATCATTTAATACATGAACCAACTTTCGGTGAAGCAGTTCGCCAACCTTGATAGGGACAAGGAGAAGTGGAGACAATTTACAGTTGCCTGCAGTGCAGCTGACTGACGCGTTTCATTTGTTTTTTTCAATAACATTTTTTAAATTAAACAGCCACACCAGTATGCATGAAAACAGCCAGACTAATATACTGCCAGTTAATTACTGAAAGTAGGGTAAGAAAACACGCCCCTATCACACGTGTTTACACACAGTGCATGTAATTCCCTAATACATGTTACCTCCATGTTCTACTCTGTTAAATAGACTTCTGGTTCCTAAGCACAAAAAATAAGACTTAGTGCTGAAAATGTTAATAAGATGTAAGATATTAGCACCAAACAACGAATGTGTGTTGTCTACACAGCTATATACTTAGTATATGTAACTTATGATTTTTTTTATCTGTTATTTTTGTTTGCAGATGTTTTAAAAAGAGAGAAGAAATGGCGATTAACAGCAGGTGATAAGTACAATGTAGTATGTTGTAATATACATGTATAGACTATTAGCACTTAGCATTAGAATGTAGCAGTTCAGTATTCAATTTTAGACCCTCTAGACTACATTTGGTCATAAGTGCATTTAGCCCATTTGGGCAGGAATATGCAATAAAGATTCATTCATTTTGAATTTTGTTTTTTTTTTGCACAAAGATACATGATTGTATTATACGTATTGGCCTAGACAGATAGCAATTGTGTCTGGCCTCGACATAAGTGAATATAACCTGGGACCTACATGTACATGTAGACAGAAATTGCCATGCATCTCAAATGAGATGACGCACAAGGAAATTCACCACAGCACAGACGGTGCAAGGCAAGACACTGGTTTGTTACTTCTTGTTTCCAATCATGTACTTTGTGTGCTCAAGTCTGTCCAAACAGCTTTTTTTTTTAATAGAAAGAATCCTCAAAAGGACTCCTGGCTTGTCCAAATTTGTCCAAAAGATCCTGAGTTATTCATGTAGGTGCCAATACATAAATGCAAATCCTAAGGTACAATTACATAATAAACAGGTCAGTGACCCATCATGAAAGTTCATTTCAATTTCTGTGTTGGTAGTTACATGTTTACCTTGCATGTTGGATCAGATGTTTTAACTTTAAACAGGTCAGTGACCCCTTGACATGCCTTTATCATGAGCTCAGTACTTTTTATCATGAGCTCAGAGTTTCTTACCAGAGGTTATGTGTACATGTACTTACCCATGAAAAGGCTCTTGGACCCACCAGCAATGTGCACACACTTGAGTGATGACATGAACTCATTCATGACAGGAGTCTTAATCTGATAAAAGAAATATTAAGAAAAGTATAGTCAACATCCTAGATTACTTTTCCTTTACATTACACATGAATAATATGAAACAAAATTGTATGGTTCTTAGTGGCAAATGTGCAGATCTTGGCACATTGGCAACACCAAATCTGTGTCCTCATCAGTGTTTGGACATAATGTATCAAAGATTAGCTGTACAGTGAGGAAAGTCATGTTGAGTGCCTTTCCCAAGGGCAGAACATCGGGCATGTCACGGGATCGAACCCAGGACCTCTGAGTGGAATGCTCTTACCATTACGCCACACAATGCACGGATATCATGGTCGATAGAACCTGTTCCAAAATACACTGGCTACATAATGTAATCCAACACAACAGGGTGTCTGCAACAGCACCATTTACATGTATAATGTACCACCATGGTGACAGCAGTCTGGTCAGGGTCATTTACCTTATTCATTTGGAGAAGAAAGAACAGAGCAAATCAATATATTTCCTTCTGCGAAGGTGAACAAAAAACATATTGAGCATACCTTGGAGCCCCTTGGTCCTCCTAACTGATCCTTATCGTTCAGCCCCCAGGCAAACACTTTAGTCTGTATGTCTCCAACATTACTGATGCTCCCTGCTCGCTTCCCTCTCGGTCCATTGCTCCTCTCGTCCTCCACTTCCTCCTCCTCCTCTTCTTCCTCGTTGTCCGAGGCCAGGAAGGAGATGTTGGCGGCGATGTCTTCGTCGTCCGCTCGGATCCGACCAACCACAGACAGGCCGTGGATCTTACAGTCTATACCAGAACTCCGGCATTGTTTGATAGAAATCTCGAGGAATCTGTAATACTGTGGGGAAAGTAAGAAATCAAATAATAAATTACTACTCTCGTTATGGTAGAAAAACATCTATGACAACCCTATCAGCCCAAACAACTGATCAATCGATCCTTAATTTTGCTGTAAGACTAGACAGTGTAATTCTACAAAAAATTACCAGATGGCGCTGGTGTACTGCACCCACCTCTGTGATGTCCTGCAGCAGGGTGACCAGAGTGTCGGTGGCGCTGACATGGACTGTGCGGATCTCCTTGAGGTTGGAGAGGAGGTCCCCGCCGGAGATGACCACCAGGCTGGGCATGTAGGAGCTGTCTGCAGGGTCCACCTGCATGCGCAGGCGGTGCACGATGATGTCAGGCTGCAGCTCCAGCCGGATCCAATGCTGAAGGGAAGGTCAAACATGTCCATACGGTTAATCTTTTTTCTTTTTCACAAAATTGATAAACATGGTTTTACCAATGTTGAAGGGATCCAATGCTGAAGGGAAGACAAAACGTGTCAAGATAGTTGAAGGAAAGATGACACATGGTTGTACAGACGATTAATTCTTTAATCTGTATAAAAATCAACAGACTAGCTTGTGACAGTAACAAGAATGCTGAAAAATGACCTCTTTTGGGACAAGAGAAAGGAAGTACTGCTTCGGCTAGTTAGTCAGTGACCTCTGCCAGTTTTCTTGTCTCAGAAGGGCCATTTTAACAGGTTAGCCCTCTTGCAAGCATTTTTGTTAACCAATTTGCCTTTGCCTTACTCCCAAGCTGCACCAGAACTATGGTGTCTGGAAGAGATAGACCTGATTTACACGCAGACAAAAATCTGACAGCATGAAAACTGCAAAGTTTACACAGGCAAGCAAAAACTGCGTAATTCTGCATACTGCGTTTTCCTGCATGCCTGCGACCTGCTTTGACATACATTGTATGTCCAGAACTGTACATGACTGTATGTCCAGATTGTTCAGATCATACATTACCTCGAGGGATGGCGAACAGACATTCTTGATGTACGTCAAAGCAGGCCAATTTACATGCAGGAAAAATATTTTGATGTATGCAGTTTTTGTATACTTGCATGCCTGTACAATTTATGTACTGTCAGAGTATTTGTCCAAGTGTGAGTTGGGACATACATGTAGGAGAGTGGAGGTTACCTGTAAAGGAAAACCGTGTAAGGAGCACTGGGAAGGTGTATCCTTCTCTCGCTCCCCACACGCACACTAAAAATGCACACAGAGACAGAAGACAGTGAAGCTACAAGGTTCACACAATCACAGTTATGGAGAATCACTCTGTAGGGGATAGTTGTGGGGTGGAGGGGATTCTATAGAAATATTGTGCAGGGCTCAAAATAATGAGTACATAATCATGCACTTTTTTAATGGTGTCGCTCAAAGCAAGGCCATTGGCCACTTCAATTTTAGAATTGAAATGGTCTCTAACTGGTTATCATTTTTAATCCATAGTTTCTAAAAACTCAGTCAAATAGCAATGCAGGTACAATCTGTCTGGTGCAGGTAATTTTTGTTGTTACCCACACCTGACACCAGTGCAGGTATGCAGAAAAAATATGTTGAGCCCTTTGACAACATACATGTATGTCCTACATGTACTGGTGTGTGTAAATTCATACTTTATAACTTCAATAAGGAGCAAGGCACAGGCAAATTGTGTTACAACACTGAAACCCAATGTTCTTTGTATTATAAAATATATATTAAGGATAACATGATGATTTAGCTCTGATGTTTTGTCCTACATGACTGTATTGTTTGTGAGCCTTTAGTTCATCCCTGCAAAGTAGTATTGGACAAAAACCAACTCTTAATCCACTAGGTTTGCACATAGGAATACCAAGGCTCCCACTTTTTATGTAATGTGAATATTTCTACTGTGAAGAGAAGGGGAATAAATAAACACAATAAGAATAAACAAACAAATCAGCGTACTTTCCCCTGGGAGCCGCTGGACTGCCAGTACGACCCCCTGCCGTCGATGAGTCGCGAGGCCTGGTTCTCCCGTGATGACACGGTGAGGTTACGTACACAGCGGGACCACTCGTCCACCAGCGTACCCGTGAGGTTGGTTCCCTTCTTGTGGTACTTCCCTGGTCGCCCTGCTGGCACTGGACTGGCTCCTGTACAAAAGTAGTCGTAAGAATGGTTTTATTTCTATAAAACAAACAGCCTAGTTGCAGGCCTTTAGGGCCAAATTGTTAGGACATATAACAGAGCATATTGCTTTCTCACTAAACATTTGGTATGATGTCTAAAATGTAATTCCCTTCAGGTTCTGAGTCAAAAACCCTAACTACAAGACCACCTTGCCGTCTTTTTAGCTTGGTATGCTCGGTAGACTGTTACCTGGCTCTGTGATCCTCACGAAGGGATGTCTGTGGTGTTTCTTGGTCTTGAAGCAGTTCTCGCAGTAGTCAAAGTCGTCGCAGGTCTTACACTGGAACCGGGGGCCGTTAATAGGGAACATCTGGCAGCCATCGCACCTGAGGGGGCAGAAGATGTCATAAAAAAGTTATTCTAGTAAATGTCTTGAGTCTATCTAGTTAAACAGCATGTTGGTAGAAAATTCTGCACCTGTGCAAAATCTGGAGTGTAATGCGCATGATCTTATTTAAGGTTGTGCTCCCGTAGTAAGGACGACATCCTGTTAAGAGTTTTCAAATATTGTATAAGAAAAGATATTGTCTGCAACGGATAAAATTCTGGTGCAACTTTGATCAAACATCCGACAGAAACAGTGATTTTGAGCATTTTTTTGTGCACAAGGTTCTGCCAACATGCTTAGTTTAACCCTAGAAGCCAATGTCCAACAGGTTATGACAAAAAAAAACAGAACAGGGAAGGGTGAAAAATATCGGTGCAAAAATATTTTTGATTCCTTGTTAATGTGCTGACGGTATGTTTAAAAAAAATTAAAATAAACATGTGAAAATATAGGGCGATTACATCTAAACATTAAGAAAAATTTGAGTGATAAGCAACCATGAAATGTGTTTTCCTTCTAATAGAAACATGCATAGTTTAGAAGAACACAAGTTGAACTCACGTGACCCCAGGATGGCTGCTAGGCACAAGTTCCATCTCTGAGACCAGACCTGTCCAATGGGACTGCTCAGGGAAGTCTACAGTTACGTCCTTACCATTGGCACTGAAGGCTGGGGGGAAAGGAGTAAATGTACATGTATGTATTAAACATAGCTTTTATAGATGGCTATGTTTACATGTAAACATTGCTACATGTGTGCATTAAATGCTTGATTAAACATAGTTCACTGAACGGCTTAATGTTTAACTGGTTGTAGATTAACACTTGAGGATTAACAGAACAGAAAATGAGGAACTATAAATGATTATAATTGACAAATTGAGGAACAATACGTCATGTTCACAAACAGTATTGCATTTTATGCATGCATGTTCATTATACTGGGAAAATTTCCAGGACCTCTTGTTTTACAAGACTTCACTATGACCACTGAATTATGGTGATCAAAATCACAGTCCTAATGTCTTGTCCAGTAGGATGCATGTTTAGTACAAGCAGCCAGTCTTCTGATGCAGAGTTACTAACCACTCGACAACAAACATTGCTCAACTTTACTGAGTTATTTTACTGCAATTTTGAGAGAAAGGTGTGTAAATTGGGTAATGGTGCACTCTCAGTAACGTTCTGGGCCATGCCTCCACTCACCTGTGACCACCCCGATGCTGTTGTGAGTGACAGAACCCCACTTGTACTTGGGCGTGGTGACAGACCGCTTCACTCTCACCTTGTCTCCCACCTTCACTGCACTGCCTGGAGCTGGGCAAGGGTTTAAAAATCACATCAAGTTAACCTGTCCAGATCAATTTTTACTAAGTTCATCTAAAGTAAGGAAAAGTTTACTGCTAGGCCTTGTCATCACAAAAAAGTCATGACATCATACATTGTATATTAGCAGTGGTTCATTCCTTGAAAATTGTGTCTGATTTTCTGAATTGTGTTGGAAATAACAGTGCAACTTTCCTTCAAAAACATGTAAATGTTTGTTTTGTCTGTACATGTCTATCTCCTATTCTACCTGGGTCAGCCGACAGTTCCACATGGGTGTACTGTACCTTGCATGTACAATGTATGGTGGAATGAACAATCCCATAATAAAGACTGCCTTTCCTGGGTTGGTGGAATGCCTCTACAGTTCCAATTGGGTGTACCATACTCACACACACACACTCACTATCTGGTTTAGCATTTGTTGTTCCCATTTTCCGCGTGTTAGACGTGCTTGCACAGCAAATACTGTGGCAGCCCGCCACTTGCCTCTATACAATGTACTTAAAGGAGTACTAACCTCAAGAAGGAGGTGCTATATTTCGACAGGGATTTATTTTTGAAATTGAAAAATGCATATTATTTTACAGTATACAATTAAATGCCCATTTTGCGCGCAAGTCTTATAACGCATCGAATCCAGGACAAACTCTCCAAATACCCTCAAAACTATCCCAGAATACACCACGCTACCCCATTGGTGTCTATGTTTGAAACAAAAAGTTACGTTACAGACCTCATTTCGGGGGCGATAAGAAAAATTCGTACCGTTTTGTGTTCTTTGGTATCTTACCAACCATTGCCCTCCTTGGTGTCCTTATCACCCCTCATTTATGCCCCAAATATTGACGATGAAAAAAGGCGTAATCTAGTTATCCTTTCCATAAGTGGCGTAATCTAATTATCTGTTCAAGTGATACTTACATGCAAATAAGTTGAGAAAATCAAAACACGCAGGATAAAACTGGTTCCCACTGTATTCGACATCCTGATATTATAATATCCAAGCCACAGGTCAAGCAAAGTAAAGCAAGTAATTTCTCAATAATCAGCTTGTTAGTGTGCTTGTCTCCTACCATTTTCGCCAAAAAATGTGTATGTTGACCTGAAGTGTATGAGTATTGCGTAAGCCAGAATTCCCGGATGTATCAATTGTGGTTCAGCATGGGGGAAAATGATATTAATATCACTTTACAAACATGCGCCGCGCAAGTCGTACAAGCGAAATTATGTAAAAAGTCGGCTAGTTATGTATTCATTGCAGCATGATGTATCGGAAAATAGCACTTCCTTCTGGAGGTTAGTACTCCTTTAATATATATATACAGGAATACACCTTGACTAACCTGGGTTGGTAGAATGTCCCAACAGTTCCACGTGGATGTAGCGGACCCAGTACGTTCCTCCCTTCAGCTGCCAGTCTGCCTGCACATTCAGGTCATGGAGGCCGTCACGATCCAACTACAGGAACAGGAAGTTTCAGTTGGCTCATTTGTGTACACGTACATGTACATGTATGTTGACAGCTTGAATTTTTGGAGCGACGCCAAAGTTAGAGCATGTGTACAGAGTTCTGGATGAGTGACCTGAAAATTATAATTTGCTGAAAACACTTTTGGGGAGGCATTTTGGGGAACTTTTATTAATAGGCATTTTGATAGAGGGTGGTAAGTGCAGTAAATTCTGCCAACATGCTAGCTCAGAGTAGGATACAGAAGTACATAGATTCAGATTTCATTGATACACAACTGTGAAGCTATTGATAGTTAATAAAAAAGTTGAAATTTTTTGCTCTCAGCCCCCAGCAGACTGCCAACCAGGCTGTCATTACCAGGGGTCCCTTGGGTGTCTTCACATTGCCAGGCAATGCTATGAGCGCAAGGATGGCATCATCATCGAGCAAAGTACAGGAAATTCCATATTGGGAAATTAACTGTTCATATACATGAACAGTAAATTTACTTTTCATTAACTGTTCATATACAGTAAATTTGTATGTGGAAAACTGCTGACCAGTACAGGGATTTGAACCCACAACCTCTGGAATTGTACAGAGTGACTTGGGATTGGATCATTATCCATGTGAGCTACCTGTGAATTGTCTGTGTTTTGTCTGCATGGTGCAAACCAATAACTGAGCACCATTGTTCTGTAAATTCTGTCCTTGAGGTGTTCTGATGACTGAAATTTACATTTCAATACTTGTTTATCTTACCATGGTGACAGTCTGAGAAACTACTACTCTGTTCATTCTTACTTGAACACATTTTCATATACATGTATATGGTGACCAGCCCCTCCAACTCTCTCCTGCAATTTGCTACATAATGTAACCCAACACCTCAGGATGTCTGCTACAGCACCAGTTACCAACGTATCATGGTGACAACCATCTAGTCCTCAGGTCATTGACCTTATTTGTTCAGTGAAGAAGAAACAGAGCAAAAACAGTATGTTTTCCTTCTGCAAAACGTTCTTGTTACCTTGACGACCCGTCCGATGTCCCCTTCGTGTACCTCCTCGTACGTTCGACAGCAGCGGACCATCATGCCCACCTGGATGTGGTCCCGCACGTACAGCGCATAGTCATCATTACTCATGAAGTCTGACCGCTTCTTAAAACTCCTGGAGTCTGTGATGCCGTAGGCCTTGGGAACAATATAGAAAGACTTTATTATCAGTTTGACTGAAATACAGTCAAGGCTTCTTTAGTTTAACTTCTAAACAAGCCAAACACAAGCCCATGACTTTGAACCATGACTCTAATCTTTATTGATAATGGGTCCTTTCATGTGCTTGAGGTGTGGCTCTGCATAAGCCAGAAAAAGTGACTGATGGCTCAATGTACATGTATCCTCTACCCAACCAGTAGGGTGATGAGAGGTCACTTTTAACTGTTGCATAGCTTGTACTAAACTGTAGATATAAAGCTGGTGGGAGGAATGGGAAAAGTTGTGCAAAATACCTTTCTCAAGGACACAGTGTCTAGCCAGGAATACCAGGAATCAAACCCATGACTTCTTCATCTCAGTCTGTTAGCCAAGCCTCTCAGCCATTTGACACCACAACTCATTACAGCTCATCTCTAAGACTAGTACAGATGCAGGACACAGTAGAAGAGATTTATTACAGCTCACCTCTAGATCCTCCAGCTCCTCAGCTTCTGACTCAGACTCCGACACGATCTCCCCTGACGACAGACTTCCCACATCCTCGTCAGACAGGTCCGGTACCTGGATATCAGGGTGCTCCAGCAGCCAGCTCACCAGCGCCTCCGCACCTGGCATCTCACCTGTGGACGTCGCTGCAGGTGGGAACCAACAGGTGTTAGTTAGCCAGGTGTGTCCCCTGGTATGTTTGAGTGTTGTGTCCATGTATAGGGGTCTTCATGCATTGTGAACATGGCAACTCATTGAACTCAAGACATAAAAGTACATTGTATACATTTGGTTAAAGACTACATGTGTGATGTTCATGCCTATACATGTATGTATGATTAACCATCTCCCTACTAAAGGGTGCCTTTTGGTCCCCAAATTTGTACTGCCTGTATGTTAGGTAGCAGATAAAAGGTTAAAACATGCCAGCCAGCTATTTCTAATCTATACTTATAGCACAAACAATGAAGATAAAAAAAGGGAAGACACGTCAACCCTACATTTGTACATTCTAGCAAGCACTACCAGTAGACTAAGTTGAATATGCTAATATATGCTGGTATATGTTAAAATTGTGAGCGAGGTTAATTTTATCCTCTACTCCTTCTGTGCAAATGTTAGACTCCGATTTACTACAAGAGAACTGCATACATGTACATGCAAGTGAACTATGTTACGAAAAAAGTCGAATAATACTAACTTCCCATGATGATAAAAGAATGTCTTTTGTAGAAATAATGATAGAAGCATGCAGACAAGAGCCATGCAAGTGCAGCGAGCATTGCTGGTCCACTTCCTAATCCAAAACACCATTCAACTGTAGCACCTAAGTTGCTTCTGAACCTCCTGAAGGCAAACTATTCATTTTTGGATTGATGATTTGCCAAACCCTGCCATACAACATAATAATTATGATCAATATCACTGGGCCTCATCAGTATGCCGGCAGAACGTTCTGCACCTGCGCAAAATCTGGAACACGATTATGCATAGATCTTCTACAGAATGCATTGTTAAAGGTTGTGTTCATGTATATAACGTTATGTATTTAAGCATGATATACCACATGCAGTTTTCAAATGTAGTGTCGGTAAAGATATGTTATGTAATGGACAAAATTTTGATGCAGTGTTGACCAAACATCCAACGAAACCCTGAAAAACCTAGGGTTTGCACAGGCACAGTACGTTCTGCCAATGTGCTAGCACGTGGCTTGTTTCATCTCAGCCAATGAGAAGTGCCCATTTTCTGTGATAATAAACCACAGGTGCTGGCCTTTTGTGTTGCCCCAGGAGGTTCTACTCAGTGATTGGTCACTTAACAGCTTTGTCTGCATCCTTCCCCAACTGTAGGCAGGGCAGCCGAGCTGGGAGCGTCCGACTCACTCAGTGACTTAAGTGCAAACTCGACGTTCTTCCGCGGGAAACCCATCTCAATCAGCTGCTGTACGACAGGGACGGGGGGAGGGGGGCTGGACTTCCTGGTCTTCTTCTGTTTGTGCTGTTTGGAGGGTATGACGGGGGGAGTCTTGGCGCGCTCCTTGGGGGATGTGCTGAGGACGTTACTGATGGTTGTAGTGGAGGGGGAGGTGGAGTTGTTGGTGACGTTGGAGTTAGAGATGGGTGGGGGGAGGGAGCAGGGTCGGCTGACTTCTGCTGCCAGGTGCTGGCACACGGCTAGGGCAGCAGCCTGGGGAAGGGAACATTGGAGATTACCTGAATGTAGTGTGTACACAGACATGAACTTTGATAACAAAAATTTCACATACAGTATTTTTACCTTATCTCACACTTTTCACATTCTAAATAGTAAGAAATGGATCAAAAAATTTTTACCTCTAGCTCCTGTCTTGCAAATATGGCTTTGACGGGGGAGGGCTGGGTGGCGGCCATCATCAACTGCTGCATCAAGGTCACTGTCTCCTTGGGGAGGCCCTTCATGTAAAAAAATGGTAGCACACTATTATTAGCTACATGAACAATTTAAATGTTGTCTAACCTTGACTTCTGACCTTTAACGTAAACACATACGTATACATATAGTATTGATTTATTTTACTTGATTTACAGAACCTAGTTTACAGTGTCTTTGTACATGAATGTGATATCAACCTTACAACTACATTTGTATCGGCTGGTTCAATTAGAAATTATTGTAATCTATGTAACATTACATGTTGTGCCCGTATGTATAATTGAGGATTAGGCAAATTGTACTTACCATGAAGGATAATCCCAATTATACCTCACACGAACTATTTGGGTATATCGTTTACCTTATGCAGTATTTCCTATGCTTATCGCTAGGTGGCGCACGTGTACAAAGCTTTAATCGCAAAGCATCACGGGATATCATGACGTAATGACTATGTTCGCCGCCATTTGACGACGTGCGAGAAAGAGTCTGTGCTGTTCACCATGGGTGGGCATTCTCAGCTACTTGGAAGCTGAAGAACAGCAAGGGTGGGAAGATATACCCAAATAGTTCGTGTGAGGTATAATTGGGATTATCCTTCATGGTAAGTACAATTTGCCTAATCCTCAATTATACCTGCACACTCCCTATTTGGGTATATCGTTTACCTTATGCAGACTTCAGAGCCGTGGACAGCACAGCCTGGCCAAACGTGTGTTGGTTGTTGTCCCTCCTGTAGTACTTCAGGAAGGTAGACTCTCGTGATCAGTCCGCTGCATTTATGATGCTATGTAGAGACACCCCAGCAGCTGTAGCAGCTGAAGCGGATGCTCCTCGAGTGGAGTTAGCTGAGAAAGTTGCTGTGTCAACACCTGCCGTGCCTAACACTGACTTAACCCACCTGGCCAGGGTCGCAGAACCAACTGGCCTGTGTGGTCTGCTGAACGATATGAACAACTTCTGCCTCCCCCCCCTTCTTTCCGAAGGGAAGAAGTCCGCCTTAGATATTCTTTCAGGTATGTGAAGGCACACAAGCGCCTGTCCTGCGGGAAGGCCGCCCAAAAACACTTTCTGGCAGGTTTGCCTGGTCTAGAAGTTTCAGCAGGGTAGGAATTGTCCAAGAAACACCGTTTCTACATTTTTTTTT